TTTAAGTTTGAATTCTTTTGATTTCCGTCTCTTCAACCAGTCACATATCTACATTTTGGTTAACGGGCTGTCAATCAAAACTTCGGTGCAACACGATTGGTTGTAAAACGCTTCAGGGAAATACGGCCTCTTATGAAGATTTTGTCAATCTTTCTAGACACTATAACAATATCACAGTAACCCAAGCAACTACACTGGCCTAAAGAATTGCTTTTTGAGGCTCTGCTATCTTAGAATGCTTTGTTGGATAGTGGTGAGGGGACAGTCGGTTGCCGTAATAATGTAAGTTGCCGCATGGTATTAAGGGTTCGATGGTGAAGTCGTACTGCTGGTTGGATAGCGTGTCAGCAGCGAGATTTTTCACTTAGACGACCAATTCTACCATACTGATGTTACATTATTCATTGACGAAGCAGTTAGGAAACTTGACCTTACAAGCGGAACGCTTCTTCTCTCCCTGTGGTGTTTCGATGCCGATGGTGTGGTATTTACTTATCCAGCTACAGAACAGTCAAGTCTCAAAACGGCTGTGTATAACGGACCTCAGGCAGATTTCGCTTGAGATCTGCAGTCACACAAACCCATCTCTTTCATTCTCATAGTTATCCTACAAAAAGACTTCGACGGTGTCTGAAGCCAGGAAGTACCAATAGCCCTCACACTTCCAACCGTATACAAAACTCAGTTTCAGATAACCCACCATACTTACCTTAGTCTCCTTCCTTTTCTTCACCTTGTGAACCCAATACGATGCTCCTTACAACCTTCTCAATACTTCACCCTGTGACTATTCTCTGAAATCCAAGTCAGCAAAGCACCATCCTAATTCTTCTGGAGTAGTGCAGGCGATTCCACGATGAAGCTTTCAATGTCCAAACTCAAATCCATTTCTATCCAGAACTCTGGAAAGTATCCTGAGATTCTGAGAGAGATATACAGGGCTCCCGTGTGGTTATTCATTTAACTGCACCTGGCCACTGCAGTGGATCTGCACAATTCACTTTACAAGTGCCGTAAAATCTAAAGAATAGCTCTCGTGAACTCTTTGTTCCAGAAAGTGAACCCCTTATTCAGACAGAATGCATCTACCATATGTCTGCTAATTGACTGAGTTTTTAGGAACTAGACAAGGTCATGAGACTTCCTGATGCCTTACAAATCCACAGCTTACGCACCCACTAACTACAGTTCGAGTGGTGCAAAAGCTAAATTCTTCCATAAGCTGTCAATTTTACTACAGAAAGCAGAACTCTCAAATGTAGTTATAAAGATAGGCGACCTTAAAGCCCAAGTAGGTGAGTTGACAGGGTTGGAAAGGCATCTTGAAGAGATCCAGGGGGTACCATACCAATAAAAAGACAAAGATGATTGTTTCTTGTTGTTTTGCTCCACAATCACTTGTTCCCTACCTGCCACAACTTCTAGCATAAGGAGAGATACAGTCTCATATCGTTCCCACCGACATGAAACTAACGATGGACGAAAATAGATGATACTGCTATAAGTCACCGTCGCTAAGCATCATCGGAGGGTTGGCACTTTTTTGAAGTACCGATCACGTGTTAGTATGGGCATGTGAATGTCCTTACCTTAGTGGTGACAGGTGACCGGCAGCGGTGAAGCCTGTAAGTTCTCATCTGGAAAATGAGAATATCAGGTATGTGTTTACGGAAGTAGATAAGTACTTATCTAAACGTGACAGCCATCTTCAACCCGTAGATACTGGCTTGATATTCGCACTACTGCAGAAACAGGTGTAAAAAAATAAGTAATCCACGTCTAAATGTTAACAGTAGCCAGAGGACTTCCTGAACCTAATCAAAACTCAATGCTGCACGAGAGCTCATTCCGACTAGCTATGATCACAACGAAAGGGGAAAGCAGCTCAAAGGTATGGCGATTAGGAGTATCTACAATGGCCACAAACATTAGTCGGCAGCAAACACGAAACAGACAGTGAAGGAATCAACACTAGCTAATAGTTGTCAATTATTCGGGCTTATTAGGGAAACCGACTAGAAGGTAACGATAGTTAGTGAAGTCATCATAGAAAACGATTGGCTTTTTATAACATATTACAGCAGCTGGTTGTGACTTTGAAGCATGGTCCAAGGTGCCCGCAACAAAGCTCCAGATACTCAGAATCTAACCTGGGCTTGAACAGGAGGTGGATGCTCCTCTCCTCGTAGTTGGGAAGATTGTATGGAACTTGAAAGTATGCACAACATCAGGATCTGATACTTTATCGCTAAGTGTTTCCATGGGACGATGTAAGAAATTACTGAGTGGAATGACAGGAGTTTTAGGTAGCGTATGAGATGCAAAGTTAGCTGCATCAGACTGGTCTATTACAATGATCACTCCAGTTTCTGAGAAGACAGAAGGCATCTTGCGACAATCACTGGCGAATTATTCTTTTTCTACCCATTTGTTCTCCATATTCTCCACGTGAATTTCGGCAACCTGAACTAATGCGGATCTGTTCATTTTTCTTTGTTAATTTTGTATGTATTTCTGACACCTGAGCACAGATATAAACATTATTCTCTTTTGAAATCAATGGACGCTGTTTAAGTGGAATAATTCATCTCTCTATATATTACGCCAGTTTTCATAAACCTCAGGATCCAAGTTTGCCCTGATTGAATTTATTAAGTTGATCATTAGGCAAATGCATTATAAATGAAGTATATTTACTAAATCTCAGTGAAGTAGGAAAATTAATTTCTGACGTTTCGCAACTTCATGGAAATCACTATTTCAGAAAATAAAATCTCTACAAGTTATTGAATGTGTGAATAGTAAAATGGTAGATTTTACTGTTTAAACACTAGATAACTTGTAGAGGTTTTATTCTCTGAAAAAGTGGTTTCTATGAAGCTGATAACCACAGCTTTGTCATTTCACTGAAAATTACCGTTGGAATTTAGAAAATGGTCACTACCTGACACAGTATCCCAGTCCCTGTGACATTTTATTGTAACAAACATCACGTTCAAACATGTGTTTTGCCTAGATTCTCGTTGAGTAGAATGGTAGTAGTAAACTATTGTGCATTCCCAGCCGGAACAAAAACTGAAGGAATGTCCATTGGTTGGTTATTATCTATTAGATTTTCACTGGTTTCACGTAAGTAAAACCGCTCATTGATTCAGTAAAAGTTTGGTTTTCTCATCGTTTGGATTTTCTTGTCTCTTTAACAAGGGTGTTTATTTAGGCCATCAGGTAGAAAGTAGCACTCTTCAGTTCAGAAAGGGATATACTAAGGAGGTTCTTGCCTAAAGTTTGGTGCTGTTTATATCTCTCGGAATATGACATTTGGATTATTAGTCGGAGAACTTATCAAAGTTATCTTAAGGCCAGCACAATACAATAGAATTTGAATCAATTCCAAAGAGGTGGACAGCGTTTCTTAGGCTATTAAAGTTGAAATTTATTTTTTATTCTTCCACTGTTCTGAAAGTGGCATTACTGCTTATTTATAAAGTAAAAATCACTCAACAATTAAGAAGTGGCTAGCTAACCGTTAGCCAAATTATGTAGCCAAAATATAACTGCGTTTCGAAACTAATGCATGCGTGAAATTTATTCAGTGTGAAGGCAGTAATTCTGTATTAAAAATTTTATTTCACATGGTACACAGTGAAGCAGTATTGCCTCCTGGATAACATGAAGAGTATAACTAATCGCTCATGAGGACATCAAGTTAATCATATTATTTTCTAAACAGTTTATTCTACTGTTGTTTCGTATGTCGTTTTGTGACTAAAGTGGCACTTGTATGTCTGATATATCCAGTAAATCTGAAAGGGTTCTGAGTTGTTTGTAATCTTTTTACTAGTTGATGACCCGAAAAACAGAGATTCGGTAATTACTCCCTATCCTCCAACTTTATTTGTTTTCGAACTGCTTCTCTGTCCCACCTCATTATGCGCTTACATTTCCTTGTATGCATAACGAAAGCCGTTTTTTTCAAATTAATTACCTTTAAGGGGTTTAGCATGTTAAATCTCAACGAATATGTAAATTATGCTAGTCTGATTAAACCTGATCGACCCTTTAGACCTATTTGCTTTACCTCTTACCCATTACATAGTTTTCAATAATTTATTTATTTTTAAGGTCAACAGGATCTTATAATCTACAAGGTTTAGAAGGCCAGTAAACCACAAAAGTTTAGAAGTACTGACAATCAAAGGCTCTAAAAACTGTAAATAACTTGCAAAAATCTCAGTTATTACTGAAGGTTTTCAAGGTTTTTAGGGATAGGTTGATTCCGAGGTAATATTCATCATGGACAGACATTAGTTAGAAATCAGTAAAAACATGGGGGCGCTGGGCAAATGTTTCATCATAGTAGGAAACTCCTTAGCACTGTACGCCCCTGACCTCAGGAGGAATCGAAGTCAGGACCATCAGGTCGCTTGGTGACTACATTTCCATCCAGCTAGTGGGTTGAAATCCAAAAGTTCATATTTAGTCACTTTTCTCAGTTTCTTAAAAATACTGTCACTTAGTTTATGTACTTCAATAATCAGTACGCTAATACCAGAAGAACACGCTTCAGTGATTTGATTTGTGGGTTTCTATTCATATTTGTCTTACGTGTATAATCTAATTCTCCACTCTACATGAAAAAGAAGTAATGATATAGAACTAGATGATATGAAGCAACTTGATCGGAAATATGTGCACACACATTCGGAATAGATAAAGTACAGGATAGAACCTCATATAAGAGGTCACTCTTCTTATCATCTGTTAGCCGTAAGCTTAAACTTGGCCACTAATAAGGGTTTTCTTCACCAGTTGAAAATCCAGACAGTAAAACAGACGTGAATTCTTGCACAGCTGCAACCAAGGTTGATTCAGTTTTCACACTTTCTTACTACATTATTTACTGCAGACATATCATATTAACTTCTGCTGTTTGGTGAAAACATCAACTAATTTTGTAAAGCATATTAAATCTGAATATAAATAAAAATGGCGAGACTCACCCGAAAATTCGCCTCTAGTACAATAGCAACTGGTGCACTCATGTCAGATAAAATTAAATTATGTATTTGATAAATTAGTTTTGCTAGTAAATCTTTTTGTAATGTACCGCTTGCATCTAAACACAGTATGAATCTAGTTTGTTGTGTATTAGTGAAACGATCAAATGTAACAGATAAGTTACAAATTTTTGCAAATTCTGATTTAATAAATAAATCCGCTTTACAGGCTCTTTGCTCTTCAGCTGATATAGCCAAATCCTTGAATGACGTTGAATTAGATAGGAGGGCAGCTTCGTTAACTTTTCCAACAGATTTTGAACTAAAAAAATCTTTGTCCGCATCATTTTCAGTTTGTAGAAATGCTGACAAAGCAGTTTTTACAGGTGTTATAGGATTAATTAATAAACCCTTGATAATTCTAAATAACGATGGTAGTGATCCAAAAAGCTAAGAAACATTACTGAACTCATAATTACAAATAAAGATAGTAGACCACCATGTCCAAGTAATTTAGCTAATTGACCTGAGTAGAGACGCATGATACTAGTAGATATAACAAACGCAATCCAAAATGCGATCATTACAAGAAATGCAGGCAAACAGCAGACACGTTTGTATTTACAGTTCGGAATTCCTGTTTCGGTGTTCAGAAAAAAAAGAATGAATATATATGCATTCTGTGAGAAAGGTTTTACAAATATATATTATCACTTTTCTTCTCGGTAGTGTGCATTTGTTTTTCAGATGTTTTCTATCAAGTTATGAGCAAGGTTAGGGGAGCGTTTCTGTATCTTTAACCTGCGATTACAATAAAGGAAACTAGTACAAACTAATACTAAGGATGAATTGTAGTTAGAATCGGAATACAGGACCTGTGTTTAATCCGATTTGGGACTCGTCAGCTGGATGTACCTGCCACCTGCGTCCCACTATTGGCCGTTATCTATCCTGGGTATGAAAGTGAAAACAACAGCTACATCACGGCATTCACACAGGAACCTGCCTGACAACAGAGACCTGTCGATTCCATGCAAACCAAACAATGTTGGGATATACGAAGCTTTAATACTATCGTTTAGACTAGCTCTGAAGCGCATTTTAAAGAGAAAATGGTTTCTAAGTGAAGTCGGTTTTGAAAACAACAATACCAATCCCGATCAGCTGAAAGGATAAAACAAGACGAAAGAAAGTGTTGCAGGAAAAAACTGAGTGACTACAAATAATGAAAATATCCATGTTTAGAATGCCTGAACTATTGAACAGAAAATGATTTTTCAGACTTTGTATTGAAGAATCCTATGTCAGAGGCGTTTGGACAAAACGATTTAAGAATATTTATTAACGCTGCATCATTCCTGATTATGCGTCTCAGTTTGCATGCCTTTGAAATTCAACCACTGGGATAAAGTATGCTTCTTCACTAAGAACATGTTGTTCATACGCAGCTTGGGAGAATGTACTAACGTGATAATCCCAACAACTATAATGGTATCCATTAATTTAAGGATAGTAGGTTTAGATAGCAGATACGTGACTGGTAAAGTGACTTTGAATTTTCAACTCATTTTCCGACGGGATAATTCAATGCCTTACACTATTTTCATCAAAAATAAAGTCTGTGAAAGCATAACAAGTCAATTACAATGTGGAATCTGTATCCAGTCTTGAAGAATTCGGCCAGAATGCCTTCCTTTATGGGTCTGCACGGTCGAAATTTTTGAAGTAGATATATCAAGATAAATTCACCCGTGACACTAAGAAGTCTCTTTTATGCACGTTACTGTTTTTTCCAAAAAAATTATTTACAGCAAAATTGGAGATAAAGGTTTTCACGCCTAAGTAATTAATGAAAAAATTCCAAATGCAACATTTACCAGCAGGTCTTCCAGCTCTCTGAAGTCTTATCAAAATTTGTCCATAGTGTCGAACTAAACTGAACCACATTTTCTCCATTAATGAAAATAAGGCCATATTGGTTGTTGACGAAGGACATATCCGGTGATAAACAACAATAATCCTACAGTTAGAAAACATACAAATAAAATTACTAAAAACTATAGTCTATGAGTAGTTCGAAATATAGTATTGCAAAGTAATAAAAATGCAGATAAGCGATATTTGCCTGTTACAGTATATGAAAACTATCCACTTTATATAAGGCCTTATAAATTAATCTGAATTTTTGAACAACGATTTTCATACAGATTCATCCTGCTGATCATAGGCATTTTATTAATGATCCTAGCTTTCTGTGTGAGCACTTATAAAGCGGCTTTTATCAACTGTATCAAAAAGTTATACTCAGTTTTTATTCGCTTCAGTGTCCCCATTGTTGCCTTTAAGGTTAGTGTTGGCAAAAAGAAAACATTATCAAATTCACTGCATATATGGGCGATTTTCTAAACATTTCAAATGACCCAACTTTGAGAGGAATTCACTAAATATGTTCATGCATCTATTTTGTTAAACATTTGCTTTCTAAACAGAATCCTTCAACAAAAGTACGAGAATAATGAATACTTTTCCAAATATCAGTGTACTAGGCTAGAAGGATTTCAAACCTAAGGTTAAGCCAAATCAGTGACTCTGCACAGGATAGCATCCACTACCGAAGTCCATCCTAGGTGGTACAGTAAGCTGCCATATATACACACATCTATATTATATATGTATATATAAATATACATGTAATTTTTACCGAGAGAACTGACTCTTGGACAAATCATTTGAGGTAATAACTAGTGCAGGGAAACTATACGTTGTCCATTTGAAGTGGTCTAGATGGTTAATCAACTCAGTTAGTTGAAAGGGAAAGTAGTCTGCTTGAAACAATCAATATGTCTGACTAGTATCGTCTGCCACGTAGATCTTATGGTCCATAGTCATCTGACAACTAGTCAGGACACTTTTATACAATTTTCGCGCTTCAACAGGATTCTTTTATGCATGCACACTTAGTGGCACTAATCACATTTGTTGACCAAAAGCCTTTATTCAGTTCTACAGGTAGAGAAATACATTGTCATTGTCCTATAGGAAAAAGACAAACCGTAAAATATATTTTCCTAATCCAGTTTCTCTTTTAAGTTCTCACAGTCATATTTCAGTTCACGGAGAGTTATAGCCTAAGGCAACGCAAAAATAATGTTTTTTTAATGCATTCACTTTCACTATTTTTATTGAACTTTGTTGTATATCTGTTAATGGATGATACCCTTAAAACCCCAAATTCTTTTCAACTGACTTAAATGAGGACACATGATATAATCTTGTTACATGAAGACATTGACAGAATGTTGAGTTTTTGAACGTCTTGTTTGAAACGTTTTATTAAGTTTGGCATCCATTGTTAACCTGTATAATGAAAGACAATGCTAGAATAATTCAATAAGTAGTTCAAGCATAGGGTGTGAAGTGAAGGAATCTAAAGGGATGGTGAGAATTTTTGTGCAGTGAAGACTTAAGTCTGTGTTATATATGTTAAAGTACCATTTAGTTTGAAGCGTAATGTTAGTCAAATTAAGACAAGGTTGAGAAGGACCAAAAACACAGCACTAAACCACTAAGTGTTTGAATGTTTAGGTTTCATTGGGGCTTGATACCTTCAAAACGCCAAGAATCGGATATAAAGTATTCCCAGTGATTTTGACCACAATGGTCAAAATACTACATGTCATCTTCGAAGATTTGAATAGTTTTACTAACCTTTACTTTGTTATTCTCTCTCCTCCTATGCACTTTATCTACTTCTTTTCTTTTAAATGTGAATTGACAAATTTTACTGATGCATCTTTTAGAATATCTCTGGCTAATATTTTCACTAGCCTGCTAATTTTTGCATCTTAACGCGCTGAGGTTTCACAAGGAACTGGTTTGATCACAGAGCTTTACTGATCTAAAGCAATATCTTTACTGGCCTCCTAGAAATTTCGCTTTAAATTTTGCAGAAGTGGTGTATATGTGTAACAAAGAAAGTTTATTACTAAAAATATCACTTCACTTTGATATAATTCACACTTAGTGAAATGAAAGTGAGAAACTGAAAAGTAATCTTTATATCACTTTGAAGATTATCCAGCTTCTCCTATGAAGATGGTCACATTCATATTTTGAATTACGACGCTTTTGTATATTATCAGATATTCACTCAAAGCCTATATAGACTTTAAACATAATCAGTCTAAAGATACAATAGTGCCCTAATAAAAGTATCGGACTCCACCTTCAATGCATTTGTCAGCATCCATAAGTATGTAGGTTCATTTGGTGCATGAACTTCAAATCGAACGAAACGAAATCGACAAAATATTGGAATAATTTCAGCAAACAGGTATGTGTTCGGGTAACGGGCAGTGAGACACCTCTTTTTGTGAGAGCTAATGCCGCTGACTGGCTTCCAAAATCTAAGTTGGTGGAGCAGACTTTAATTCTGTGACCCACTCGTTAGAAGTCGAGTGTTCAAACCGACCAGCCACGGCTGCATTACTCGAGCAAAACACTAGTTTTGAAGTTTCCTACGTAGTGATAATAATTAGTACAAGAAACTAATCAAAAGCAGCTACAGAGTATTCGCTAAACATTCTTGTACTACCCGATCAATCCTTCCTAAAATTTGACAAACGAAGAATCTAAACTGTTAAATAAAAATGAGACGTTTCACTTTCGACATTACATGCAACAATATATAAGTCAAATTTCCACTTTTGTGAAATCGTTTCACAATCAATCACTTTTCCCGTAAAGAGTAAATCATTGAAGCCTGTTTATTCGCGGGAACGAATGCAGAAAAATCTTATGAAACCTATCATACTTTTGAACATTAGTTACGCCTACTTGTATTTTCTTTCTACATAAGAAAGTTTCCTGTAAACAGTCCATCGTAAGATTTAGAAGAAGAGAGCTTAATTGATAGAGTAATTGTCAGTCGTGAATGAATATATAAGCTAAATAGTTTCCTGCCTCATAACTGACCGGAATTTTTATTAACATGTTTTGCAAAGAAAACAGGCGCTCTATTCAAGTCCTTAGGTCTACTCTTTAATATAGACTTAAACCATACACACCGTACTCAAGGAGTTCACTGCTTTACGAGCTGTACCATAATTTCTGTGGTAGGATACTTTGGCTTCAGTAAGACGCCACAGTTTCATTTACCTTTCTTAATAGTAAATAAGGCTTGGTATCTACTTTGAACCAGAGTTTCTCCGAATAATCCCTATACTCGATCGGATGTGTCTTTGATGCATACGCGACAAACTCCTTAACGAGAGTTGTCAACCGATTTCTCTTTCTGCTCAGAAGGATAAATGCAGTAGAAGTTCATCAATTTTCTGTTTTTCCAGTTAAGTGCTGAGTCGGTCCATAACTGTTTTGGGATAGCTGAACGTCTAAAAAAGCAAGTTTACATTTTCACTGAACTTCAAGTATAAGGCTATTTGATGAAATACTATGAGGAAATTTCGAGAATTATATTTAACTCATTGGTTACGTCACCAACAATAAAAATGTCATCCAGTCTGCTTTTATTTGTAAAAAGATGCATCTAACTGAGTGAAGATCGGATACTGATCACATAAAATAGATGACAGATCAGTAAAGTTGAAGATGAGGAGGAGAGTTTCTCTCAATACATTTGATTTTCTATTTCAACAAAAAATGTAATCTGCAACTTAAATTTAGTAACACAGTTATCGCTGTGAGTTCAATGAAAGACCAAGAAAATAGTCAAGAGAACTCTATCTGAATCCTGTCGTTGACTCAATACATTCCATAGGTTTTGCTGTTATATCAGTAAATTAATTCAACTCAAACTATAAACGTATGAAATAACACAGAAAACCTGTTTAAATTATCCTACGCTGCAGTTTTATAGACTCAGTGTCATCCAAATAGTCTCAAGTGGTCTGATATAGGTAAAAACACCTCATTTTCCTCTGTTATTATCTTCGATCACTATTTTTTAAATAAGCTGTTTATTGGTTTTCTGATATACTATGAGCTTCTCATATTTTTAGTCGACTCTCGTGTATTCATGATTTCACTTCCTGTTTATTATTCTATGAAATATTTTGACACTGTAATTATTCACTATATTTCTCTTGTATCTGTTCATATATCCAGTGCTATATTATGTTCCCAAAAAGCGATCAGATTTTAAAAAATGGAGTTGTATCCACCATAACCAGCGATACTTTGTGTTATCTCTCACGTACAGCATTACTTATGAAAACAGTTTTGTAGACTGAGATAAACGTTTTAGGTTATGATTTGATCAAATATACCATCATTCAGAATATTGATACAAACCTATCTCGGCAGAAAATTAGTAGTTTTTTGCTGAACTAACTGAAACTCTCGTAACAAGTATCAATTTTGTGCGATGCAGGTATGTGACTCCTAAATGATAGTGCATCACCAGTATACATCTATACATGGGTAACAACGACTGTTTGTGAGATTACTGTAGTGATGGCTGCACAAACGTATCACATTATGTTCAGTAAAATGTTCTACGTTCTTTACTGATGTCAGTGGCCGGGGGCACAAACAGGATTTACATCACTGTACCCGAAAAAATGGAATTATTGGTCGTAGCGAGTCAGCTGACTTAGCGTGACAATGTGAATATTATTAAACCTGAACCTAAGCTTTGCTTGAGCCAATCCATTTTATATTCAGGACTAGTATGACTACAAACACAGATGTGGAAAAGCCTTCAAGCACCCAATCGCTTTATGATCTAATTACAGGTGTCTAAGTTTTTAAAATATAAACTATAACTTAGGGAATTTCGTAAACAAAATGAAAAGTACAAAGGCAAAGCAACATACTGACGATAACGACGGGTTTTTGCCGTCAGTATAACAAGTCTTTCAAAGATACCAACATTGAAGAATCATTTCAAAAGGAATAGGAAAAATATTTGAAAAAATTCATGGGTTATGCCACCATCATCCCCGATTATTTCAACTAAAAGGGAAACTCAATCAAATTAATTAAAATGAAACTAACAGTTCTTGAAGACATCAAGAGAATCAAGTGGAAAAAAATTAAGTAAAAAAATAGGCCAGAGAAAAAATTAAGTGAATCATGAAAATCGAAAATCTTTTCTTATTTAACTCTGCTTCATTAATCTCTGTCTCTTATTCTCAAGAGGCTTGATGTTTGCAGATAAATTTCTCTGCATAATAATTTAATTCTTTTTTGACAGTTCAAATTTGTACAAAATTTTGTTAAAAAATGATGTCTTCTACATTAGTGTAGAATAAAGACTAAGAAATAAGGCGAGATTATATACTAATTCTCACTTTAAACAGATAAAAATAAACTGTTTACTTTTCCCAGTGTACATTTCGTGTGATGGGTAAATGCTTTTGTCTGTGTGTCTTCTTGTAAAGTGAGTTTACATTGGCGAATCGATTCCAATTTCATAGATAATTCTACTTTTAATAAAGCTGTTATCCTATGCCCCAATCGTCTGAATGTATTAGAAAACGTTTAGGATTCAAATAACTGGGGATTCAAACTCATGAAAACATTAGCCTTTTCAGTCTAACTTGCATAAGAATTATCAATTAATAATATTGTTCAAAATGAAAACAACCCTTGGTTTTGTTATCACCAGGTGAATCGTAATCCGGTTTAATAAAGTATGGTTTTATAAAGTAGCAATTAAATCAGCAGGTTGAAATCCAATCTCCTCCTCTTTTGCAATCCATTGGGTGTATACCTTGCTGAAAACAGCAAATAAACTGCAATTCAAAAATATATGCTGTTCTAGCTTTTATAGTTTGCCACAGAAAAATATCAAAACATATGGCAGGCGTGAACATACGTAGAGAATTATCTGGAAGTTTCACTACATGGATTTTGGGATAAGACCAAAGCAATCTACTTGGTTGTAACTTGCACTACGAGTCAAAACGAACAGCACTGGAAAAACTATAGCATACCAATCCAGTGGAATATATTAGAATGTTCTTCAAGGTGCAATTCTTTAATCTGAATAATGCTGTATGATGATCCATTTAGAACTGAGCTGACCTCAACATTGACAGATTATAGTCTAAGACTAATCTGTAGAGCAAAACCTCTGAGATGGTGGAGAATATTTGTAGCTCACGTGGGTAGTCTTGATTGCATTGTGTTTTCCGAGCTGGGTTAAACAACCTACTCCACTTTAAAAGCTTTACAATATTTTGTTGACATCAAGTCTTATAAAACGTACATGAATATTGTTCGAATACTTTTTACTTTATAATTATTTGTCAATGAATAGTGTCTCTACGTAAAAGTTATTTCCTTATAAAATGGACTCAACAGATATAAAATATACTGAGTGATGGTTGAAAGTTGACCACAGCCGCGGTACGAATTCGCATTTTACCTTCAATCAGATGACCAAATAAAAATGTAAAATAGTTAATAAGCGATATTAATTCTGAAACTTACCTCGTAGGTGTTTTAGTATTCACTGATTTCTCAGGATAACAAAAGCATACGCTTAAGAAAAGTTTCAACCACTGAAGGAAGCATGCAATTGAGTAGCTGGCGCGTATTGCCATTGGTTTATGACAGAATCGAGATCCAGTTATGATTAGCGCTGAAACATGAATTCAAGTAATAAGACGATAACTGTAATTTGTAGTTTTTTAAAACAACCAGAATTTATTAAATGTCTGACAAAATATTTTAGCCTACGTTTGTGTAAGCAGTACATCAAATCAAAGATAATTTTTTCTTTGAATCAGATTTATACTGGGAACTTTATTTAAATAATGGTAGAACAAATGAAATGCTAGTTACTTCATCTATCTACGAACATCATATTTTAAGTAATTACTTTCTCGGATTTTAGACGTAATCATTCATACGTTGTTGGTTAAATATGTAAAAAATAATAACAACTGAATCATTCAATATGTGTCTAAGTGATTTGTACACTTTTGTCGAATTCTGTTTTCTTTTTGACACAGACATAGGCAGATACAGAAAAGTAGGAACCCTCAAGTTATTCTGTAATTGTTAACAACTTGCGATATCATCTATAAAAGACAACAGTATTAACATCAGAAATCCAAAACAAAATTTTTATAAATCTATTTATTCAGGACTCTCTCAGGCTGTAGTTAAAATACTAAATAAAGATTCTGAGATAAATACATCTCAAGAATACTTTACTCTTCATAAGTGACAGACAAATTAATTGTGGTTTCATTTTTCGCCTGGAGTCGATCCAGACTTCAGTAAGTGATGACCGCCTGCTGCCTGATGCTGTAGCCACAACTACTCCTGTTGTATGAGGCGAGACGCATTTCGTTTTCACATCTCCTTAATACTGGACTCAACAGAATGTCATTACACTTTGATATCATGATTTTCCTTGAGCCTGTACTAAAGACCTGTTAAATATGTGCTTTTGCACTTAACATTATTGAAGTCAAGACCATAAGACTTGGATGTCGATCGCACGGAGCTGGGAAGAGTAGTCCTCATGCGCTGTTTTGACAACAGCCGATATTTGAAAAGAGGCCACGTTCCAACACAGAGTCCGACGTGTGACGACACCTACAAAGCTTACTAAGATCTTGAAGATTAAACTAGTAGCCTGAAAGACAATCCTCTAGCCTCTTTTCCAACAGTTCAGTGACATAGTACAACTTCTGTTCTACGGGCACTACAACTTGACATGCTCGTCTCGAGAAAACTTAGGCATCCAAGCAAGGTCAGAGGGACCACTAACACTGTTTGAATCACTTTAAAGATGAACGGTAATTTTTACGTGCTTTAGAATCGGATCGTTTAGCCGTGAATAACAGCTGACAAATAACTCAACGTCTAAAGGAGAAGGATTTTCAAAATCTGACCCAGTGTAAACTTTCAGACCATAAGAATTACGGATCTCAGTCCAGAATTCTAATGACATCATTGTTGGCCAGCATATAATGAAACTAAAAGGAAATAAAAAGTGTATTTCAAGATTTCGTCTCTTTTCATCAACAAGTAGTGTCAAATTTACCTGCTGAAACCGTGGTTCAAAGAAAAAATGTACACTTTTCAACATTGTGACACGAACTAGAACTGCGACTCTTGTAATGTGAAAATGTAATAATATGTTTCAAAATACGAAACCCTGCTTTGCACATAAAAGATTATTTATATCTTGTGTAAATTTTCAACTGATGAATCGCAAATTACTGATGTTATGAAGATATATCTATGCATATATGTACATATAAATGAAACCGTCTAAAATAATTTCGTCATAAATATTCAGTCTAAACGTCTGAATGAAAAAAGTTCAAGAAAGATTAACAATTCACTTATTCTAATTGATCAACGTTTTTTTCCTCTTGTCTGATAATCTGATTAAGTCATGCATTACTGGGTCACGATACTGAACGCATGAGAAAACCCTCGGTAAAAAAATGTTTAATTAAACATTGACAAAGTAATTTTCGATAGAATAAAATAGTTTGTCGATTTTTTTTCTGAAATCTGCTGACTTCGTAATTTTCTAAATCATGAGTGAAATATTTCGGGAAAATGTTGTTGCATACAAATACAGTTGTTGTATCAGTGGAGTAGTCAAGATTTTCGTTAATTCGATCCAAAACACACTTGAAGAAGCGCTCAAATGAAGAAACGTAGGCTGGTCCATCTTATAAAATATCGGGAACACCATTAAATAAAACTTTCAGGAAAATATGTTTTCATTTAGTCAGTAATTTATCCAATTTTTTCCTACCAGGCAATCCTTTATCACGTTCAGAAACCTCATTGATTCATGTTTGAGAATATAGTTCGATCATAAGTTTACAGGTGATAGCAGAAACTTAATAAATGATTCAAAGTGAAAATCAGAAGAGGCGGCATTTTATCGATTTGAGATTGAAAAAAAGATTCAACAATTAAATATGATACTGCAGTTTGTAAGTTTCAAGGTCTTAGGAATTTAAGAACACAAACTTGCTTACTGAGCATCAGGGTTGAAACAAAAGTATTTTAGCTTTCTACGCTCGCTACCGGCTGAAAAATGGGTCATTATAATTGCAATTAATTGAAGCTAACTGAGAGCTCTAAACGTGACACGCTACAGATCAAATGCCTCTAAAGTCAGGTATGACTTTCACTTCAGTTGTAACATGGGACGTATAACTAAAATGTAACACGCACTTATCTCAAATGGGAGCGCAAATTTATGTGTTAAGTGATCAACTAATAATGCGTGACTTCAGTACTCGTCGATGTGGATTGGAATTACCAAACGGACAACACTTACCTGATCTTACATATATGTCTTTTCATGAGTGTCGAAAGGCATTAAACTAGGTTTCAAGGATTTCCCCCTGACTCGCTGTCAATAACAAACCCCAGCAGTGAAAGCATAGGAAACATTTTTCATAGACAGTAACTTATGAAGCATTTGAAAGCATCTACAGCAGTATGTTATATGTAATACTAATGTATCTTTTTGAGTGTGTGCACGCTCTTGTTCACACAAGATCACGATAAATATGGAATCAGTTATCAGCTCGTCGCGTATAAACCTTGTCAAACAAACACATTTTTAGAAAAGAGATAGATATATTTAGAAACATCCTGATAAGTCCTTCAAAGAAAGAAATACATTGCAAAGTTTCTTTTAAATAAAAAAACCTAAGATTTCGCAGAAGACTCACTGAAAGTTGATGTGACGTAACCAGTTCATGACTGAAAACAGCAATTAACTCTGCTAACTTCTGATTTGAACATCCTAAGGTTTTACAGTGTGGAATACCAAATGTGTTCTCTTTGAGGTTCTATATATGTGCCAGATAAACAGCTTTTTACTTAGGAATCTGGCAACAAAAAATAAGTTGTTTTTCACAAGTTAATTTACATATTTTAATCTCGAATTTGTTTTCCTAGTTTTCTAATGGCCAGAGTTGGCCACTATTCATTACTTATCAGAATAGCTGCTGAACCTCTTGTTTCCCTCTTTCATAGAACAATAAAATGCTATTGTTATGCAATTTATGGTTATCCGAGAGTGATTACTATGACTTGTATGGTAGGACAACCAGGCGCACAGCATAGACGAGCAACTTTTGGAGACCGTGATTATTGATTGTCAAGGGGTTTAATCGCCATAAAAAGGTATCATGTTTCACACACCCAAAATAACAAGTGGACGTGAGCAAGAAATAAAAATGTTTACCGTATCTCTTCTAACAACTACTGAAAGAGTAACTATGCTACCAAGTAAAAATAGGTTGTCATCCACAGTTTCGTCACGTGATTCTTCAATAGACTTCTTAATATCATGACTCTTACAGTACCAAATACTAAGGAATAAGTTATGAAAATTACTCGAAATAGACAGCTTTCACTATAATTGTCTTACAAATACCTGGGCTATGTTCTATCAACAACAAATCATGATACACAGGAAAACCACTTCATCATAAGATTTATTCATCGACCAGCACTTGCTATTAAACAGTGGTTTTCTTGAATTATTTTTTCAAATGGCAAAATAACACAGACAACGGCATTCTCTTGCAAATTGTGATACCATACAGGACAAATAATGCAGAGCAAGAGAAAAAGAGGAATTCTACAGACAGTTGCAATAAGCACTGGACAAGACTCCAGATGGTGATATCAAAACTCTAATGGGCGAAGCGAATGCCAAACTGGGAGTGGACAACATAGGAAGAGAACAAACCATGTGCTGAGAAGCGCTAGGTGAGGTGATGAACGAGAATGGAGAATTGTTTGCAGAATTGTGTGCATTCAACGATTTGGTGATTGGAGTGAGGTAGTGTGTTCAGGCACAAGGATATCCACAAGGCAGCGACATGGATTTCACCATTCACCAGATGGACACACTACACTAAATATCAGATCGACTTCATCTCAATGTGAAGAAAGTGGAGACACAAAGTCGAGAAGTGGAGCAGATGTAGACTCACACCACTATCTTGTGCAAGGAACAGAACTTCAAAGTCAAGTTAAAAGTCTTCAAGGGAGCTGTTGATAGACTACAGTTCAAGTACAACACCCAGAACGGAAACTGAAGGACGAAACTACACAGAGAATCTTCACGTCAGTCAGCCACCAAGACAAAGTGGGAGATATCGAGGAACATCCCTGAAGAAACCTGTGTTGATGAACACTGGAAGTCTTCGAACGAGACATGGAAGAAAACCTGCATAACCATATAAGAAGGAGCAGGAAACAAGACAAGGGATTGATCTCCACGAACACATGAAAGCTGATAGAGCAGGGAGAAAAGGATGGTGAAGCAGAAGATAAACCAGTGCAAGGACTCGCAACGAAAACAAAATCTGAGTACAATGTATAAAACACTGGACAAAGAAGTGAAGAAGAGTGCACGCAAAGACAAAAGACACTCCTATGACACATTTACAGGTGAAGCAGAACAGGATGCTGGTAGTAGAGACAGAGAGAGAGAGACACCTGACAACATTGTATCGAATAACCAGGTTACTATCTGCTATGGAGGAGATCAACACAGTGCAGATGAAACCAATAGAAGATGATGAAGGAAGTCTGATTGCCAAAGAGGAGAAACAAAGGAAACAATGGCCTGACCAC